TAGAGGAGAAAGCAAGATGGCGGCATAGGTAAACACTGGAAATTGCTGCCTCGCACAACCACTTCAAAAATACAACTAAAAGACAAAATGGACATCATTCAGAACCACAGGAAGGCTGGCTGAGTGGAAATTCTACAACTAGAAGGAAAGAGAAAAGCACACTGAGACTCGGAGAAGGTGCGGAAGTAAAGTGCAGAGGTACGGAGGCGCACGCGGAAAGGGGCTGGCAATTGAGGACGCGGTTGTCTTTTTCAATCGGGAGGGAGACACATGCTCCCGCTCTGAACTCCAGTTCCGGGCGAGTCTCTGGGGACCCAGACTCATACAGGAGAAACTGGATTGTCTGGCATTGGTCGGAACTCGAGGGCAGCTTTCTCTCGGAGGTGCTTGCAGCGATTACCAGGACACTGAGAAGCGGGGCCTCTGAGGGCAGCCATAGCTGCTTGCTCCGCCCTGTTGATCCCTTGGGACCCCCGCCCCACCCAAGCTGTGCGTCGGCTTTTGCATATGAAAGGCCTGGCTCTTTGCAATCTGAAAATTACCTAACAAACTGCAGCTGGCCCAAGGCCCCACGGAAACTTGCATTGCTTCACAGCTGAGCTCCTACTGGGTAGCCTCAGGCAGAGGCTAAATTAGCACCTCCTTAGAGATCCAGGAGCCAGTGTGCCCGGTGGTCAGAGTGGGACCATCCAGATTACAACTCCTCAGATCCATAAGGGACACACTCAGGGGGCAGACTCAGTGAGCACCAAAGCCCCACTGAAGCAAGTCTTGCCCCGGAGGGGTGTCTCCAGCACAGAAGTTCTCCCACTGCAGACAGAGCTGATTCTCACAGCCAATGGGCCTGGAGGTCAATTCCTCCCAGTGAAACCTACAACAATCAAGGCTTAACTACAACAAGACTGTGCACAAAGCCCACAAGGGGGTGCACCAAGAGTGTCCACCTCAGGTAATTGGGGAGGCTGAGCCACTGGGCCCTATAGGACACCTAGCACACAAAGCCACTCTATCAACACAGGAAAGCATAAAAAATGCGGAGACAAAGAAACAGGACACAAATGATAGAAATGGAGGAAAGCAAACTGCTGGATATAGAGTTCAAAACCACACTTTTAAGGTCTTTAAAGAACTGTCTAGAAGCCGCCGATAAATTTAGTAAGGCCCTCAAAAAGTCTGGTGAGACCGCCGATAAATGTAGTGAGACCCTCAAGAAATCTAGTGAGACCCTCGAGGTTATAAAAAAGGACCAACTAGAAATTAAGCATACACTGACTGAAATAAAGGATATTATGCAGAGATCCAACAGCAGACTAGAGGATCGCAAGAATCAAGTCAAAGATTTGAAATACGAAGAAGCTAAAAACACCCAACCAGAAAAGCAAAAAGAAAAAAGAATCCAAAAATATGAAGATAGTGTATAAGGAGCCTCTGGGACAACTTCAAGTGAACCAACATCCAAATTATAGGGGTGCCAGAAGAAGAGAGAGAGCAAGATATTGAAAACCTATTTGAAGAAATAATGACAGAAAACTTCCCCTACCTGGTGAAAGAAATAGACTTACAAGTCCAGAGAACCCCAAACAAAAGGAATCCAAAGAGGACCACACCAAGACACATCATAATTAAAATGCCAAGAGTAAAGGACAAAGAGAGAATCTTAAAAGCAGCAAGAGAAAAACAGTTACCTACAAGGGAGTACCCATACGACTGTCAGCTGATTTCTCAACAGAAACTATGCAGGCCAGAAGGGAGTGGCAAGAAATATTCAAAATGATGAATAGCAAGAACCTACAACCAAGATTACTTTATCCAGCAAAGCTGTCATTCAGAATTGAAGGTCAGATAAAGAGCTTCACAGATAAGGAAAAGCTAAAGGAGTTCATCACCACCAAACCAGTATTATATGAAATGCTCAAAGGTATCCTTTAAGAAGAGGAAGAAGAAAAAGGTAAAGATACAAATTATGAACAACAAATACACATCTATCAACAAGTGAATCTAAAAATGAAGTGAATAAAAAATCTGATGAACAGAATAAACCTGTGCATATAAGAGAATAAGGGGCATAGAAAGGGAGTGGACTGACAATTCTCGGGGGGAAAGGGGTGTGGGGGGTGCAGGAAGAGACTGAACAAAAATCGTACACCTATGGATGAGGACAGTGGGGGGAGAGGGGTAAGGGCAGAGGGTGGGGTGGGAACCAGGTGGAGGGGAGCTATGGGGGGAAAAAAGAGGGACAATTGTAATAATCTTCAATAAAGATTTAATTAAACAAAAACAAAAACAAACTAGATTTATAAAAATAGAACTCTATGATAAGGAATCCCCACCCCAGTACCTAGAAACTAGGTTATTACAGGCTCAGCTGAACACTTTTCTGATACTTATCAGACCCACAATCTTTTATTGAGTACAATGCCCCAAGAGCAACCCCTACCTGGTAAGCCCCAACAATGTACCATTTTGCTGGCAGGGAATATTTACTACAAAAAGGATAAATCAATATTTAGAAGGTATTTTCAAACTTATTTAGACCACAATCAATTTAAAACTTCTGAAAACCATCCAATAATTAATTCACATTAAATTAACTGTTTAGAACATTTAATGCATTTTTTCTAAGGACAAAATGGTGCACCTATTTCTCTACTAGTCTGAACAAAAAACACATAAGGTTCCTATAAATCCCCCACATCTCATACCCATTTTTCTCTTTTAATCTTTTAAACCCAGAAGAAAGACAATTCAAAATGGTTTAAGACAACTGTACTAAAAGGACCCTAAAAGCTAGAACTTTGTATCATGTCTTGGGCAAAAAGTTGTAGAGGTTTAGTTGGACATATACTGATTATGGAAACTTCTTTAGGGTTCAGTCAAAACGTATTAAGAAGCAGCAGATGAAGGATGATTAAGAAGGGCAGCGATGAAAATTATATCTCAGTCTGCCAAAGAAGACTTCATTCTAGGCCATCTCAGAAAAAGGATAATGGAAAGTGGAGTGAAAGAAAAGAAACAGAATTCCTGATGTCTTGAAACAATATAACTTGACATTCAACTTGGTGACTATATATTCTAATTATAACATGTTACATACTATAGGACTGGTGCACAAAATTCATGCACCAGTAGGGTCCCTAGGCCTGGCTGGCAATCAGGGCTGATCAGCGCCTTCTGGCTGCCAGCTGGGGCCCTTCCTTCGTTCCGCTCCGCCCCCTGGTGGTCAGCACACGTCATAGCGAGTGATCGAACTCCTGGTCTCCCGATTGAACTCCTGAGGAGACACTTTTCATATGTGCCTTTTATATATATCCACTAGGGGCCCGGTGCACAGAATTCGTGCACTGGTGCGGAGGGGGGGGAATGTCCCTCAGCCAGGCTGCCCCCTCCTCACATTACTGGGGAGCCCTCAGGCGT